TTACAGGTTGCTACGCTGCTGAGATCCTTGGGATCGTTTACTACGTAACATGTTGCTACGCTGCTAAGATCTCTGGGATCTTTTACTACGTTACATGTTGCTACGCTGCTGGTATCTCTGAGATAGTTTCCTACGTTACAGGTTGCTACGCTGCTGAGATCCTTGGGATTGTTTACTACGTAACATGTTGCTACGCTGCTAAGATCTCTGGGATCTTTTACTACGTTACATGTTGCTACGCTGCTGGTATCTCTGAGATAGTTTCCTACGTTACAGGTTGCTACGCTGCTGAGATCCTTGCGATCGTTTGCTACGTTACATGTTGCTACGCTGCTGAGATCTCCTTGGGACTTTCTTACTACGTCTGATGCACATGATGTTTACCTGGATTTGTTAAAAATCAATAGATTTTGCATCCACTTTTTTTAAACCCAAATTCAGTTATCCAAACTGATCGGAAGAGCATTTTATATTGTAAATTACAGGTGATTGTGACTCTCCTGGAAGCAGCCAATCAAAACGCTCGCGCGGTTTCCCTTCCGCCGGGATGTATATGATATGTATTATGATATATATAGTTATATAATACAATATATGTCTATTATGTACAACAGATCCTCCCTGGGAGGAGCTAAGAAATGCATCACGAAATGCATAGCACACCCAAATAATTTGCCGGGCACCAGAAGTTCAAGAACTCGTGAAAGGAGGCCTGACCGCCGTGGGGCAGGGACCACAATGGTGATCGATTTGGGGGTGTGAAGATAGGGTACACTCAATCTATGGCTGTTTTGATAGGGAAAAGATGGGAAAATGATCAACAAAGATCAACCATGGGCTTTTGGATGCTATTGGGGTCTCCAATTTTCAGACAAAGCCATTTGGAAACCTCGGTTCATTCTGTGAACCGCCCCTCCCTCATCCTCTAGAGCCAAGCAAAAACAACCCTACCATCACGAACATCATGATCTATGTTTTGTAATCTACTCCATGTTCTTTCTCAAAGATGGCATTGCAGACGGAGAAAGTCTGCTGGCTTCTTGAAAACACTGACTTTCAGTCTACTAGTAGCACTGTTGCTTCTATGGAATTCCGCATGTGTCCCAAGGATGGAAAAACCGAATCCAATATATAGGGTCTTGGACCTCCGATACAAATACCCAACAAAAATCATATTCCGCGGCGGAAAACAAAGAATCTTAACAGTTTCTCTCCTGTCCGCTGTTTCAGCCTTGTTGAAATCTGAAAGATTGTTTCAACTTTCAAATGAAGCAAGTCGCAAGAACCCTTGAAGGAAGCTGCACAATTACGCAGTGGGAACGTCCGCAACCCTGCGAATTGCGGTGAATTGCGAGAACACGGCAAGAAAGTGGCTCTCTGGACATTTCTTGAGAATCCACTGACTATGATAACAAAGGTACATGGTGGTACGTAATTCATAATTCTTACATACCCTGTCACGGCCAAACATTGAGATTCCCGCCTTTAAAAAATGTTGTTCCTATTCAAATAGTTGGGAAATTTCATGAATTTCCATTGCTAGGCAAAATGAAACCACAGGTTTTCATCTTTACCTTGTGCATTTTAAAGCAACATTCGGCCAAAAAAGCAATTGGCCTTTCCAGAATCATCTTCGTCGATCTCCTTCCAAAAGAAACCTCAGCGACGTGCCACCGAATGTTCATTGATCTGGGAACTCCTCCAAGTTTAAGAGCTGTTGGTGCACTATCAGGATGGATACAGTATGATACAGTAGGATACAACTCAACCAGAAAGATTTGCTAGGAGCATGATGGAATATTGCCAGGTCAATTTTCATTGATGAACAGCAAGCCGTGTTTGACATATAATCAGATTCAACCGTAAAACTATACAGTACATACATATATAATCATATATACATAAACAAAAAACACAGACACACAATATATATATATGTGTATATATATATGTATATATATGTATATATATGTATATATATGTAAATATATATGTATATATATATATTATATATACATATACATAGTATATAATTATATACCATTATATACCTATGTATTCCAGTACATGGATATCTTCTAGACATTCAGGCTAGGGAACTTCTGAAAATTTCACCTCTGGGATCAGCGACCTCTTTTCAAATCACCACGACGGGGATGCCATGGGATGGCCTAGTCTTTATGCACTATAAAACTGCTTGGTGGTGCAATATATGGTTAATATATGGTTATTATATGGTTAATATATGATTAACATATGTATCTTGAACAATTCTGTTA